CCTCTCCTCCCTCCTCTCCTCCCCCCCTCCCTCCTTTCTTTGCTGCTATAGAAAGCAGCAGAGTGATTGTGGGGTGCAGTCAGGGGGGAGAGAGATGGGGGAGACTGAATAGACCTCAACACTTCCACAGATTTCCTCTCTCCCCACCATGGAGGACATCTGACCTTTCAGGAGGGAGGAGGAGGGGGGAGGCGGGGGAGGGGGGAGGCAGAGATAAAGGAGGGGGGGGTGGGGGAGAGAGAGGAGAGAGGGGAGAGAGGGGAGAGAGGGGAGGGAAATCATAATGAAAACTGGTAATTCCTTAGAGAGGGAGTGAGAAAGAAATGTCTAAGGGCCAGTAATGAGATCGTCTGACTAGCGGGTTGCCATGGCGACCACCACAGTATTACTATACACTAGAGCGCATGAATGAGAGAAAGACCATCTATTGTTGGCACAAGTGGACGGGTCAGAGAGAGAGAGAGAGAGAGAGAGGGTGAGGAGAGGAGGAGAGGAAGAGTGAAGAACGTTAACAGACAAACCGACGATTTAACTTCTGCAACGACCACGACAGAGGGGGCGGAGCCACGACTCAGTGATCAGGTGTTCGTCTATAATGGACCCATCATCATGTGTCAAATACAGGTGAGGACCTAAGTGAAGACAGGGGTGATCATCAGGGACAGTCGTGGTTCTTCTTGATTCTGAGCAGAGTCCTGGTTCTGATGTTCCCGGTCTAAGGGGGGGGAGGACTTCATGGACCAGAACCCGGATCAATCCCCCTGGTTCTGCTGAGGACGGACGCAGAACTTCATCCCGGGATCAAATAAACTGTTGTTGGCATGGAAACTGAAACCTGATCTGATTGGACGATTGAAAAGGTGCTGATGTCAGCGCCTCCTGCAGGTCCGGATCAGAGTCGGTATTTGTGGGTCCTTGGTTCAGGATCCAGGTGGACCCCCTGCAGTCCGGGTTCTGGTGGGGTCAGTCCTGGACTGTAGATCTGATGGTCTCAAAACCGCTGCAGCACCTGTTCCGCCGCAGTCCTCCCTCCTCTGGTAGACCCCGCCCCCCTCCAGAGTCCGTTAACCCGTCTCTCTGAGAGCCAATCAGAGCGCAGGAGGACTCTGAGTGGACAGAGACGAGTGTCCGTCCAAACTGGATAAAGAGATCTAGACGTACAAACACCAGATGTCTTCTCGCGTCTCTCTGGGTGTGTACAGCGCGGTCATGTGACGGCGGCCCACGGGTAACAAGCGTTTCCTTCCTGGGAGGAAGTCGTGGTTCATGTGAGCGCCGGAGACAGGAGGCGGAGACAGGAGGCGGAGACAGGAGGCGGTGAGGGTCAGCGATAATCTGAGTGAATGGACAATGAAGCAGATAGGTGAGGGGGGGGGCAGGAACTGGACTCAGAGACACACAGACACACACAGAGACACACACAGACACACACTCAGAGACAGACACACAGACACACACAGACACACACAGACACACTCAGAGACACACAGAGACACACAGAGACACACACACAGACACACACAGACACACACTCAGACACACACAGACACACACACAGACACACACAGACACACACACAAAAACACACAGACACACACTCAGACACACACTCACGCCACAGGGTCGACAATGAAACAAAACAGACAGATAAGACACGCCGCGCCGCGGCCCACCGCCATTTCTGTTTCAGAAGAGAGAGAGAGAGAGAGAGGGAGCGAGAGAGAGAGAGAGAGAGAGAGAGTGTGTATCTGTGTTTGTGTGTCTGTGTGTGTGTGTGTTTGTGTATCTCTGTGTATCTGTGTTTGTGTGACTCTGTAAAGTTGAGATCTCCGTCTCGCCGCCTCGCTCACTCTCACAGTTCTGATCCACATGAGAAGACGTGGACCACAACAGCACTGAGACAGATCCACCTCAGCCCCTGAAGTCCATCAGACCCTGAAACAGACCATGATGACCCCCAATCTCCACCGCATCTGGAACGGCTCCGATCCGGAACAGCAGCGATTTTCACCGTTCACCAACTCCTACCTGATCTGTTTTTGAGGTGGATTTCATGGCGGATTACAGACAGCGGTAATCATGAGAACTCACAAGAACCTGCAGATTCACGATCAATCACACGATAACGAGTTGTCTCTCTAAAGACAGACACATAGACATATAAGCAGTAGATTGTGTCCTTCCAGAGGAGGAAATCTACTTCTAGACTTCTAGAATCAGCATCTCCTCATCCATGGTGTCATCGGGGTGAAATGACGTCTAAAAACCTTTCACTTGTTCGTCTCCGCCCGTTTTGAAAGAAGTCGGTGTAAATTGACACGTTAACTTGAATGGTTACGATCAGCTACGATCGGAGGATACGACCTTTTAGGAGACGATCAGGATGAAGGTGGAGGTCGGGGGTCAGACTCTGCAGACGTACAGTGAGTCATCAGTTTTAACCACGTCTTTGAGAATCGTCTCAGAGCTCCACGAGCTTCAGAGTCCTCAGATGGTGGTTTGGATTCAGACCCAGATCCTCCTGTCATCCTGTTTCCTCTCTGAGCGGCGAAGCTTCGACTAAAACTGTCTCACGCTACTCAGAAAAGCAGGTGGCGAAACCGGGGAGGAATCACTGGTCCAAAATCTGCAAAGTGAAACTCCAGGAGGAGGTGTGTGATGGAGGAGGAGGAGGAGAGTGACGGGCAGAGAGGAGGAGACAGGAGGAGACAGGAGGAGACAGGAGGAGACAGGAGGAGACAGAGAGATGTTGGACAGCTCCTGAGGGTTTAGGAGGACAAACTGATGGAGGTTTGTCTCCGTGTCCCGGGAATAAGGAGGACATTTACGGACAAACTCTCTGAAGCCGCTGACATGACTTTGGCTGTTTGCTCTTTACTGTTTAATAAAGCCGGTTACCGTGGCGACCGCAGGATGTTTTGTTTTCCCAGCGCAGTGAGAGGGACAGAAATGCCACTTCTATCTGCGCTCTTATCAGCGGCGGACCGGAGGACTCGGCTGCCCTTCCTTGTCCCTGTGACTGCGGCTCTGTAAGGAATCCGGGGCCACCTCTCACCATTGTGCTGTCCTACAGGAAGCTGGGTCCGCCGCTCACTCCCAGCATTCACTGGGTTTCCTGTGTCAGGTTACCACGTCCTGTGTTTATTTTCTTTGCTCTCCGTCCGTATCCACCCTCCAGGACTCTCCAACATCCACCAAAGTCCACAAAAGAAGAGGATGGCACTATCTCAGCCGCCGCCGCCGCCGCCACTCCTGCTGCTGCTGGGAGGAGTGAGGAATGCGGCGTTATCTCCTCGGGGATGAACTTCTTCTTCTTCTTCTTCTCTTTACCTCCATGAAGGACTCGGCCTCGTCTTTCACTGACCTGTCTCTCGGCGGAGCTTTAAATTCCCAGCTCTCTATCAGCTCTGCGGAAAAAGAGTTTTCCTCGGCTAAAGCGAAAAGAACCTCAATCAATTTCAAATTAAGCGCTCCACTCGATGGACATTGTCTTTGACAGATAAGCTCGTTACACCTTGAGAAAAGGCGAAAAAGGAACGAGTTAAAAACAATCTCTTCAGAGTAATTATTGCTCCGCTCCGTTTTTCCTCTAAAACAAACAGCTTTGGAAAAGTTCGCAGCGCTCCGTGATTGATAGAGAGCATGAATGATGTATAAAGTCTATTTTACCCCGATCAATACTGCATTTCATTAGGACACGCCTCCAAACACACACACACACACAGTGTTTCTGTGTTTCACTGATGAATAGAAGAGGAAGAGTGTGAACTCGCCATCATCACACATCAGCTCCTCCTGTTTCACGCTGACTCTCTAACTCTCCTCCGGGTTTCCTCCGAGCGGTTCTGAGATCCGCGTGATCCAGAAGAGTTCACCTGCATGCTAAACACTGACCTCTCAACCAAAGCAGCTCCGCCTCCTTCATCCACCGCCCCAGAATCCCCCTGAGGATAACTCACCTCCATCGTCCTTCCTACGCTCCTCTGTATGCCCGCAGTGACGACCACGCCGCTCCTGCATTCACGTCCATGTGGTTCTGAGACACCTGAAGAACCGGGTCAGAGACTCGGACCTTCACTGACGGTCTGACACGACAACAACGTCTCACCACAAAAACACGGACGATACAAACGACTGTGGAGGCCGAAAAAGAGAGAGAGAGAGAGAGAGAGATAGAGAGAGAGAGAGGGAGAGAGAGAGAGAGAGAGAGAGAGAGAGAGAGAGAGAGAGAGAGAGAGAGAGAGAGAGAGAGAGAGACGGAGAGAGAGAGGGAGAGAGAGAGGGAGAGAGAGGGCGAGAGAGAGAGAGAGAGAGAGAGAGAGAGAGAGAGAGAGAGAGAGAGAGAGAGAGAGAGAGAGAGAGAGAGAGAGAGAGAGAGAGAGAGAGAGAGAGAGAGAGAGAGAGAGAGAGAGTGAGAGAGAGAGGGAGAGAGAGAGACAGAGAGAGAGAGAGTGAGAGAGGGAGAGAGAGAGAGAGAGAGAGACAGAGAGAGAGAGAGAGAGAGAGAGGGAGAGAGAGAGAGAGACAGAGAGAGAGAGAGAGAGAGAGAGAGAGAGAGAGAGAGAGAGAGAGAGAGAGAGAGAGAGAGAGAGAGAGAGAGAGAGAGAGAGAGAGAGAGAGAGAGAGAGAGAGAGAGAGAGAGAGAGAGAGAGAGAGAGGGAGAGAGAGAGACAGAGAGAGAGAGAGAGAGAGAGAGAGAGAGAGAGAGAGAGACAGAGAGAGAGAGAGAGAGAGAGAGAGAGAGAGAGAGAGAGAGAGAGAGAGAGAGAGAGAGAGAGAGAGAGAGAGAGAGAGAGAGAGAGAGAGAGAGAGAGAGAGAGAGAGAGAGAGAGAGAGAGAGAGAGAGAGAGAGAGAGAGAGAGAGAGAGAGAGAGAGAGAGAGGGAGAGAGAGAGAGAGAGAGAGAGAGAGAGAGAGAGAGAGAGAGAGAGAGAGAGAGAGAGAGAGAGAGAGAGAGAGAGAGAGAGAGAGAGAGAGAGAGAGAGAGAGAGAGAGAGAGAGAGAGAGAGAGAGAGAGAGAGAGAGAGAGGGAGAGAGAGAGACAGAGAGAGAGAGAGAGAGAGAGAGAGAGAGAGAGAGAGAGAGAGAGAGAGAGAGAGAGAGAGAGGGAGAGAGAGAGAGAGAGAGAGAGAGAGAGAGAGAGAGAGAGAGAGAGAGAGAGAGGGAGAGAGAGAGAGAGAGAGAGAGAGAGAGAGAGAGAGAGAGAGAGGGAGGGAGTCAGTCAAAACATGAGGGTCCTGAAAACTTCACCTCATCTCTTTAGAAGAAACAAACATGGCCGCCTACAGGAGCTCCTCAGATCAGCTGTTTGTTCCCCTGAACACGTTAACGTCACGGATCCTCACGTGTCCGAAAATTCTGACCTCCGACCAACTTCATTTAAAGACGTTTCAGACGACAAACGGTTAATGAAACCCACAGAGCAGAGGAGACTGCAGCCCTAAATCTGCAGCTCTGAAACTGCAGCTCTGAAACTGAGGGACTAAAACTGCAGCTCTGAAACTGCAGCTCTGAAACTGCAGCTCTAAGTCTGTTTACTCTGGTTGCCATGGTATCATTTGTAGTTCGTCCCTCTTCAGTCTTCTGCTCTCTGATTGGCTGAGGTTTCGCTCCTGTGATGGTGGACAGAGACTGATTTCTGTTCCTCCTTCAGAACCAGCTGATGATCCGGGTTCTGCTGATTCTGTTGGAAGGTGGAACTCGGACCCGAGGTCAGGACAGCTTTGTTGGAGTGAGGAAGACGCTTTCTTGAAGGACAGAGACTTTTGGGATGATTTACTGTTTCTGTTTGATTCCCTCCAAAAAACATGATCTCAGGGTTTTTTTCACACACACACACACACACACACACACACACACACACACACACACACAGAGTGGTGGATGTGAGCGTCTAAATCTCCTCCCTGTTGAACAGGGAGAGACTAAACACGGAGGAGACTCTGGAAATCATTTCCTTCTCTGTGTTTATATACAGAGCTGGTTCTGCTCAGTAGATGCTCCTCCTCAGACCCGGCCCGGTGTAACAGAACTTCACTCACTCAGCGGACAGAGCTGCTGACAGACGAGGACACCAGAACGCTCTTTCAAACCGGCTCAGAGAGTTTCTGCTGCGAACAGAACCTGAGGACGGACGGACGGACAGAAACCAGTGGCGTGATGACTCTGAAACTGTCCACACAGAAACGTGTCCCCGTAAATGAGGAGGAGAAGAAAACACTCGTTTCTGCAGCGTAAATACGACCATTTGGAGGATCGACTATCAAACAGAAACGACCACAGACTCTCAAAGCCCCGCATGGTTTCACTGTACACACACAGACGCCGCCGTCTGAGCGTGCATCACACACACTCGCCGTTTTTTTTACCACGCAGGTCAATCACTCTGACCTCTGCGGGCTCGGGTTCCACGGCGAGACTTGGTCAGTGGGGGGGGGTCCTGACGAGTCCTGAGGGACGCTGAGCCGGGCTCGTCATGAGGGGCTTTAACTGACCGTGTGTACGTGTGTTTACTTGTTTATGTACGGTGTCAGGTCCGAGGTTTGTGTCTGAGTGTGTGTGTGTGTGTGTGTGTGTGTGTGTGTGTGTGGGGGGGGTCCTCTACTGTAAAACAGCGAAACTTCACTGTCATTTTAGTCCATCATTAATCTCATACCTGAGTCTTTCTGTCAGTGTCCCCACTTGTCTGCGCCCCTCTATGTCTCAGTCCCTCTATTTTCCAGTCCCTCTATGTCCCAACTCCTCTATGTCCCACCTCCTCTGTGTCCTCTCCCCTCTATGTCCCCGCCCCTCTATGTCCCACCTCCTCTGTGTCCTCTCCCCTCTATGTCCCCGCCCCTCTATGTCTCAGTCCCTCTATGTCCCACCTCCTCTATGTCCCAACTCCTCTGTGTCCTCTCCCCTCTATGTCCCCGCCCCTCTATGTCTCAGTCCCTCTATATCCCACCTCCTCTGTGTCCTCTCCCCTCTATGTCCCCGCCCCTCTATGTCCCACCTCCTCTGTGTCCTCTCCCCTCTATGTCCCCGCCCCTCTATGTCTCAGTCCCTCTATGTCCCACCTCCTCAGTGTCCTCTCCCCTCTATGTCCCCGCCCCTCTATGTCTCAGTCCCTCTATGTCCCACCTCCTCTATGTCCCACCTCCTCAGTGTCCTCTCCCCTCTATGTCCCCGCCCCTCTATGTCTCAGTCCCTCTATGTCCCACCTCCTCTATGTCCCACCTCCTCAGTGTCCTCTCCCCTCTATGTCCCCGCCCCTCTATGTCTCAGTCCCTCTATATTCCAGTCCCTCTATGTCCCACCTCCTCTGTGTCCTCTCCCCTCTATGTCCCCGCCCCTCTATGTCTCAGTCCCTCTATGTCCCACCTCCTCTATGTCCCACCTCCTCAGTGTCCTCTCCCCTCTGGATGTGTTTTTATCTGGACATGTTTCAGAGAGACCAGTCTGCTGTTTGTTCTTAGACCGTCGTCATGGAAACGTTCAGAAGCTGTTATTATGGGATGTCACAGAATACAAACTGACCTTCCTCCTCCTCTTCGTCTCCCTGTCCTCCCAGCAGAAGCCCAGAGGCGCAGCAGGAGTCAGTAGAGAGCAGGTCTCAGAGTGAGGACGGTACCACTCAACTCTAAACCCATAAATCTGGTTCTGCAGAACTCCGGGTCCAAACTCCAGAACCACAGCTGATCTTGGACCCTGTGAGGAAGCAGCTGCTCCTCTCACAGAGTTTTTCTGGGAGTTACATTCCTCACATAAAATATGCAACCCGAAAGCCTCCGGGCCCCCTCAGAAATAAAGAGGACTGTTACCGTGGCAACCTGGAACAACAGCGGCACACAACATCCCGCTGACGGACAGCACACTCCAGGAGGCCGGCGCACAGGTGCTGTTTTCTTTCAAAACAGAATAAAAGCAGCAGAAGAAGAAATCAGAAAGTGTTTTAGAGTCAATTAACAAACCGACCCGCTTTGGGTTCAGGCTCCGGATCCTCAAATAAAGGACTCTGGTTTTACACCGACCCGCTTTGGGTTCAGGCTCCGGATCCTCAAATAAAGGACTCTCGTTTTACACCGACCCGCTTTGGGTCCAGGCTCTGGATCCTCAAATAAAGGACTCTCGTTTTACACCGACCCGCTTTGGGTTCAGGCTCCGGATCCTCAAATAAAGGACTCTCGTTTTACACCGACCCGCTTTGGGTTCAGGCTCTGGATCCTCAAATAAAGGACTCTGGTTTTACACCGACCCGCTTTGGGTTCAGGCTCCGGATCCTCAAATAAAGGACTCTGGTTTTACACCGACCCGCTTTGGGTTCAGGCTCTGGATCCTCAAATAAAGGACTCTGGTTTTACACCGACCCGCTTTGGGTTCAGGCTCTGGATCCTAAAATAAAGGACTCTGGTTTTACACCGACCCACTTTGGTTTCAGGCTCTGGATCCTCAAATAAAGGACTCGCTCAGGAGTCGCTGCCTTCAGACTTTGTCAGAGTTAACAAAGACGGTTTCTGAAGAACCTCCGGTCAAAGATGAGAGCAGAGACGGTTCCTGTGAGTTTATTTCCCTCAGACTGAAGAGCACCGGCCCGTTATCAGGAAACCAACGCCACGTTAACCAGACGCCACCGCCAAACTCGACAGGTGAGGACAGGAAGGAGGAACTGTGACGGGAGAATAAAAACAGACAAAAGGATGTGGAGGGGAGTGGGAGTCCATCTTCAGGAAGTGTTAGCGGCGTGGAGGAGCGTGGGTCCGCTTCCCACAAAACACCCCATCAGCCTCATTAAAAGAACCTTGGCACGATACGCCGTGAACAGCGAGGACTCCGGCCGCACGCCAAGTCTGCACTCACCTCCTCTCTCCCACACACATCCAGACGCCGCCATCAACCACAACAACACCGCCGAATACGGGAGGGGGGTGGAAGAGAGAGCGAAGAGAGAGTGAAGAGAGAGGGCGAGAGAGAGGGCGAGAGAGAGGGCGAGAGAGAGGGTGAGAGAGAGGGTGAGAGAGAGGGTGAGAGAGAGGGCGAGAGACAGATTCTGGAGGCTCTTCTGTGTGAGAACAGAGAAAACAGAGAAGAAGAGTCTGAGCTCAAACTGACCAAACTGACCACAGACTCAGAACCTCCTCAGAACCTCCTCAGAACCTCCTCAGAACCTCCTCAGAGTCCTGAGGACTAAAGTGAGTCATCTCTGGCAGACCCAGGAGGACTCTCCTGGAGCTCTACTGGACGTATGAATCAAACTTATGGATGTGGAGGAACGACTGCCAGCTCTTAATGCCTTACACATTGTTGGAGCATGCAAACACATACATACTGTATCCTAGCACAGACACACACACACACACACACACACACAGACACACACACACACACACACCAGGGTTGCTACAACACTCCAACACAATCTACCAAACAACACGGCTGGTTAAAGCGTATCGTCTTACAGCAGAAGAGAAAAAAGAATCTCTATTTTTATTGGGTAAGAAGGTGGAAAATATTAGAGCAGCTCTGGACATCAGAGAGTCAGAGACAGACGGTTGGTCCTCAAGTTAGAAAACAAGATCTCACATTCGCTGAGAGGATCGACTCTGAGAAACAATGAAGTTACTACAGCAGCTGTGAGGACCTCAGTGAGGACCTCAGAGAGGACCTCAGTGAGGACCTTTGTCTACGACTGCAGACTCAGAGTATGTTTGGTGTTTACACGGGTCCTAGTCAGTCAGTCCGTTTCCATGACACTCGAGAAAACCGAATTATCGCCTTATTCCGATTAACAGACAACTGACGTGTGAGCCACGCCCCCGTAACCCCGTAACAAACCCCCAGAGTAGAGGAGTAGCGTTGGTCTCCTCTTTAGAAAAAGTAGCGCGTCCATCATGTCGGACAAAAACAACGCTGTACGATGCTCCATCTTCTTGTTTCTCCAAAATGCCCAGCAGCAGTTGTAGACACTTCTGACGTCTGACACCGACCTGCTGTTGTTGTTGACGGTTGGATGGGGTCGGAAACAGCGCCGCTGAAAAGACCCATATCGCCCCCTAGTGTTGGGGAGGAGGACACGTTCACGTCAATAATTCAGTTTTCTCAGCTGCCTGTAAACGAGGACGAGGAGAGAAGTCTGATTCAGAGAAAAAGACGAGTTATGAGTTTAGTCTGATTAAACTGAGACTGTAAACGAACTGAGAGACTGTGTCAGTTCGTGTGTGTGTGTGTGTCAGTTCATGTGTGTGTGTGTGTGTGTGTGTGTGTGTGAGTTGTTCTCCTCAGGTGTTCCTCACCTGTCCTGGGACAGTTGTCTGCTCTTGTTCTCGTTGACCTCTGTGGGTCACATCGATCGTTTTATTTTTATTCTGCACCATCACCTGAAAATAAAAACCTGTTAACAGGAGCTCTGAACTTCAGCTCTAAAGGGACATTACACCAAACAATGATCTGAAGGAGACTCTGCAGAGGTGGAGCGGACAGAGAACCTCCACCCTCTAACAGGCGGAGACTCTCAGCTGACGGTTGTAAACAGAGAGATTTTCTGTGTCTGCAGAAAACGGCTCTCCGTGTTAAAGGCGTCAATGACACACGTCAGGAGCGTGACCTCCATCAGCTGCATCCTCCACCCGCTCTCTGAGATCCAAGTTTCAGCGCGCCGTACCTCTGCACGTCACCCCGCCTTCAGCCCCACCTGTCCGCCGAACGCCTCTTCTCCGAGCGAAGCGCCGAGAGAGAGCAGACAGCAGAGGACAGGCCGGTAATGAGATTGCCACACCCTGTTTGAGTTTAGGAGCTGTGGGCTGGAGGACAGCAGGCTGGATGTGTCTGGGGAGCGTCACCTGGATGTTGGAATTGCTCAACCTGCACAAGCTCATTGTTCAGGCCTGTCTGAGTCTGAAGGGGGCAGAGAAGGGAAGGACGTGAAAAAAAGGACCCAGAAAGAGGCCGACCGAGTGAGACGCCGTGTGTCTGCATGGAAACGCAGAGCTGAGGTTCAGAGGAGGAGGAGGAGGAGGAGGAGGAGGAGGAGGAGCCGCCTCCTTTCAGCTGCTGTTTCAGTCCCTGACCTCACGGCGGTCTCCTGTCTTTGGACTCTGGTAACTCGTGGGGTTACTTAGACCAAGGCCTGATCAAACGATAACGATACATAACAGAAATTAATTTCCCTCAATATCAATATAAACCATGATCAATATCCTTTTCAATAGTCGTCATTCTGACATGTTTTGGTCGACTATACGAACAGCCAATGAAAAGGGGAGTTTCTCCGGGTCTGAACCAATCATGTTCTGAATTAGAACCAAGTATCAACCAACTGCAGCGTGGTAGCAGACAGCAGCTCCACCCAACCATAGCACTTTAACAGGTGAAGCCGACAGCACTGTTGGTGAGAAACAAAGAAAATGAGTGCTACCCCCGACAGAAATGACCATGAAGGCTCAACAGATGACCACATCAATGTCAACCACAACACTGGCGTTAGGAAAACGTCGGTGGTGTGGAGGTATTTTGGTTTTTGGAGGTCGGACATGAAGCAGAGTAATGTGGACTGTAAATTATGTCGAGTACATGTTCTCACAAAGTCGGGGAATACCTCAAATCTTTTTCACCACCTGAAGCAGCGCCACGCCGCAGAGCACGCGCAACGCAAAAGGTTACAAACCCCGAGAGGAGCGAGGAGCCCATGGCGCCTGAAACAGACGACCATTCAGTCGGCTTTCTCTAGAGCGACGCCTTACGACAAAACGCCAAAGAGACACAAAGACCTCACAGATGCAGGAGATTATTGTGCTGGAAAAGACATGAGACCAAGAAACACTGTTAGATTTTTAGATCAGCTGATATTGATCCATATCAGCTGATATTGATAATAATATATCCTGATAAACTCTCTCCCGTATCGCCCCGGCCCTCCTCAGACCTCTTACATAACTCTGTTTGTTCCTGATGCTCCGTCTGTCTCCATCATGTTGGTCTCTGAATCAGGACTCGTCTATCAGGGTGGGTTTTCCTCCTGCGTCACTCTCTCCCTGACACCCCCACCCTCCATATGCTGATAAATCCAACAGCTCCACGCCGCAGCCAGCGCCATCCTGTCCTTCCTCCTACCTTTACTAAAAACAGAAAACTTTCCCGTCCTCTGAATCCCTTCATCCAGGACCCACAGGTTATCTCCAGCAGAGGGAGGGGGAGACGGAGCAGAACAGCCGAGGAGAGAAGAGGGAGGAAAGAGGAAGTGCAACAGTAAAACAGAGAAACCAGCGAAGAGTCAAAAACACAGAAATGTTCTTTTTTCTGCAGCAGCAGCAGCGGCGGCGGCGGTGGCGGTGGCGAGCTGGAAGGTCTGGGTGCAGAGCTGTCAGCGATTGTTAACACATGTGTCCAGGCTTCCTCTAGGCCGTTTACTCGCAGGCTGAAGGAGGCTCAGCACCAAAGATTTATGGCTCCCGGGGAAGAAAAGGAAGTGTGTTATTGATAAGTAGCAGAGAGGAGGCGAGGGCGCCCGCTGCAGTAATTAGAGGATGAACTCGCAGCCCATTGATTGGACGGAGTCCTGCGCAGACAGCAGAGCCTCCTCATACAGTAGCAGAGCCGCAGCCTGACCTCTCTCCGGACAGGTGAGCTCACCTCTGGGACCGCCGCACCGACTCTTTCATCAGCGCTGAGGGCGCCAACACGCTGCGATGTGAGCGCTCACGCTGCGTTTGATCAACAGATGAGCCGCCGCAGCTGCTGTTGCATCAGAACGCAGCAATAAAGGAGGCAACCATGAGCAAATCTGTGTGTGTGTGTGTGTGTGTGTGTGTGTGCACGCTCAGTGTGTAGAAGTGGGTGGAAGAGAGAGAGAGAGAGAGAGTGAGGGAGGGAGGGGGTGCTGCTTCTGTAAAAGCCTCGTATTATCCCAGCATTCACCAGTGTTTCCAGTGACCACAGGCTTGGAGGCCGGCCCAGTCCTTCTAGACTCTGCTTAGCAATGGGACCCAGCATTGTTTGGTTTGGCTGCTTATTCCAGTGTTTTTAGCATCGCCTTTAAGAGGAGGGGTCAGTGGAAGCACGGAGGAAGTCTGGGCTGAAAGGAGGAGGAGGAGGAGGAGGAGGAGGAGGAGAAGTGAGGAGGATCCAGTCGGCCTTCTTCCCGTTCTACAGCTTTCCTAGAACTTTGGAAAAAACAACAGATGCAGGGGCCGAGTTCAAGTTCTGTTTCTTTCATTTTTCCTCTCCTCCGTTTGGTTCCACATTCGTCCCCGGCTTGTTTCACTCAGCTGTTGCTGCAGGAGGGTTTTCTTCATCAAGACGCAGAGACAGAGAAGATAGGTATCTGTAATCAAGGGAAAGTATGTGTGCTCCATTCCTGAGCGCAGCAGTCATGGCGTTATAACACCGAGGTCGACTCACGCAGCCTGAAAACTCTCCGTGTGTTTGAGGGAAAATATGTGATTATGTCACAAATTTAACAACAGAGCGCTTTAAGAGGACCGAAGTCTCCTCATTATAGGTGTTATATAAACAAATAAAAAGTCATTATGATACTGGAATGAAGTTTTAATGTCAGTGGAATAATGTTATTATGATACTGGAATAAAGTCATAATAATAATGGAATATATTCAAAATGATAGTAGAATAAAGTTATAATGTTTCTGGAATAAAATCATAATAAAACTGAAATAAAGTCATGATGATATTGGAATAAAGTTATCGATTTTCTAGAGTGAAGTTTTAATGTTTTGGAATAAAGTCATTAAAAAGTGGAATATAGTCATTATAATACTGGAATAAAGTCGTTATGTTACTAGAATAAATTCATAATGATAAAGGAATATATTCAAAATGATAGTAAAATAAAGTCATTATGTTACTGGTAATAAAATCATATTAAAACTGTAATTAAGTCAATATAATAGTGAAATAATGTTATTATGATACTGAAATAAAATCACAATTGTACTGAAATAAAGTTACAATTGTTCTGAAAAAAATCAAAATGATAGTAGAATAAAGTCATAATGTTACTGGAATAAAATCACAATAAAACTGAAATAAGTCATGATGATGTTGGAATAAAGTTATTGTTTTTCTAGAATAAAGTTTTATTGTTCCTGGAATAAAGTCGTGTGTGTTCTGGTTCTCCTTCTGGTATTTCATTGATCAGAGAACTTTTATCTGTTTTTGGAAACACTTTGATAATCCGGTTCCTAAACTCAAACACCCTCAGAAACTGTCACAGTGTCAACAGGGCCTCTCATCCTCAGATGAACTAACTGTGATCGTCTTTGTTTTGATGAATCATCCTCCATGTTGTTGACTTTGGACCCGTCAGAACCGTGTTCAGCACAGCCGGCTGCGGTATCAGGGGATTGTTCGGGGACATCACGCTCAGGAACTTCAGGACAGGAGCACCTGAATCCTCCTGCTCCCCAGAGTCGACTCTTGAACGGTGCAGAGCTCTGATGCGGAGCCAGGAGCCGCTCTGGAAATCTGAATCCCTCCTCCGTCTCATTAATAGTCGATGCCCTCCGTCCAGAGGAGGAGATGCCTGAATAATCCTCTCCTGGGTTTTTGACATTCAAATCTATTCCATCCAGAGAGACACCTGTTCTGCAGCGAGGAGGGGGACCAACACTTGGCCAAGAGTCCCCGCCCCCCCGATGGCGCTCTTTGTGCCGACAGAGGGACCCTAAAGCAGAGAGAGTGTTTTTTAATTGAGCTGAAAATGCAGACGTGTCGGTCCGACTGACTCTTCTTCATCAGTCTGAGCGCCTGCTGCAACACCACCAAAGCCCCCCAACCACTCGGACTGTAAAACAGATCTCTCTAACAGCAGGAACTACAGTCAGTGCTCTCCTCCTCCTCCTCCTCCTCCTCTTCCTCCCCCCACCTCCTCCTCCTGCCCAGGTGAGTGTTGTTCAGGCTGCAGCAGCAGAGGAATTACACAGGCAAGACGAAGAAAGCGCACAATTATCTTCAATATCTGTCAGACACATGACAGCAACAGCCCCCCCAACCTCACCCACCCTTCCCACCCACTAACACACCACACACACACACACACACACACACACACACACACACACACACACACACACACACACCACACACACACACACACACACACACTAAAGGAAAGTACAAAGAATGGGGGTGTGCTGCTCTTTTGATTGTTCAGAGGCATAGAAATTGTCTCTCCCTCCCTCCCTCTCCTTCCTTCCTCCCTCCCTCCCTCCCTCCCTCCTTCCTCTCTTCCTCACTTCCTTTTTCTGCTCATTACCCACCACATTTGCATGCCGGCTGCCAAAGAGCAGGCAGCGATGGGGAGGGAAATAAAATAAAAGGATTAGAACAATGGTAATGACTGGTGCTGGGTGCCTGCAAGTGTGTGTGTGTGTGTGTGTTGTGTTTGTGCGCACACACACACGCATGCATAAGTGACAGAATATGAAGCACAGAAAAAGCATTAAATAAATTCATCCAAGACGGCAAACAGGAAGAGGAGGAGGAGGAGGAGCAGGAGGAGCAGGAGGAGCAGGTGTGATTAAAATCTGAGTTTCTGATGTTTTTAGAGAAATGAGAAATAAAATCACGTTAACTTTACATTTAAAACAAAATCACAGACATGTATGACCACCGGCATGTTCCCCTGACCTGTCAGCGTCCCTGAGAGAAACTCGGAATAATTACGATAAAACTGTTTTTAAAGTGTCGGAAAGTTACCGACTTACAGCAGTTTCCAACTTTCCAACATGTCCTTGGGGTCTTTCCTCCAGAGGTGCCACCCGATGCCCTCTGGGTAAAGAGGCTCCATAACTGACATGAGCTGAAGCATTCAGACATGACCTAATGGAGCCGGGCCGTATCAGCGGGTGCTGGAGGGATGGCGAGGAGCGGCCGTATCGCAGCCCTGAGTGAGACCTGCAGGACGGCGTCTTTCAGAGCCGGGAAGGTCGATGAAAGACCCCCGTGTGCCGCAGAATGGATTATGTCTCCTTCCCTCTCAGCACAGCGATAACCACATCAGCTCCAAGGACCCCCTCAGGGCCGGCGCAGGTGAGCCCGCCTATCTCTCTCACTTACAATCAGGAATCCTTGATGCATTAAGCGGGTTCCCGATGAGCGTGTACGCAGAGCGGCGCGGGTTAGAGCGGCGGGCGAACAGATGGGGATGAAGGAGAAATCGTGTGAGTGTGGAGGAAGTGGAAACAGGAGACCAATCAGCAGAAGCACAACAAAGCTCAGGAACGCTAACCTTTGAAGGACTGGCGGTTTGCACGAGGAGGGAGGGAGAGCGGGGATCTGTGATAATAGCGCACACTTGATCACGCCATTACCTCGAATTAGGGATAATTAGCCTCGGTAAACTGGGCACGAAACACGCCTATGATGTCGGGCCCAGAAGGCATGCTGCGGTACCTTTTACAGCCCGGTGGCTGGTTTTGGGCACACACAACTGCTGCTCGCTCGCTCGCTCGCCGCACAGCAAGGAAGTGATAAAGAGAGCGAGGCCGGCTGGCTGCGAGCAAACTGGGAGTAATTATCAAAGAGAGCTTATAATCAAACATCCGAATCGCAAACACGGACTATAAAACCCCCTTTGGCTTACATCCAGGAGTCGTTTTATCCAATTAGGTAAATGGCTGTAATGTAGGGGAGGGAGAGAGAGAGAGGGGGAGAGAGAGGGAGAGAGAGGGGGAGAGAGGGGGAGAGAGAGGGGGAGAGGGGGGGAGGCAATAAACCAATGGAGCTCCACAATCAGAGACTGCAGAGGGATATTTGTCAATATTTCTCTCTTTCACTTATTATCCCATTGTTTCCTCCTCAAACGGGCCCAGAACCAGCCGCCAACTCAGGCGCCGTTTGGTGTTTGCTGAAAATTTCAGTCTCTTCAGATCTGGACGCCACCGCCGCCGCCGCCGCCGCCGCCGCCGCCGCCGCCGCCGCCACGCTGCTGGACGATCATAACGAGCACTGTTGGCAGAGTTAGCCTGATCCAATTAACACTGACTATATCTGTGTTTAATGACCAAATGGTACCGCCAGGACCCGGTCCATCCAGAGGGGACGAGAGGAAGAGGAAGAGGAGGAGGAAGAGGGAGGGGAAGAGGAAGAGGAGGAGGAGGAGGAAGAGGAAGAGGAGGAGGAGGAGGAAGAGGAGGAGGAGGAGGAGGAGGAAGAGGAAGAGGAAGAGGAGGAGGAGGAGGAGTAGGGAGAGGAAGAGGAAGAGGAGGAGGAAGAGGAGGAGGAGGAGGGAGAGGAAGAGGAGGAGGAAGAGGAGGAGGAGGAGGGAGAGGAAGAGGAGGAGGAGGAAGAGGAAGAGGAAGAGGGAGAGGAAGAGGAGGAGGAAGAGGAGGAGGAGGAGGGAGAGGAAGAGGAGGACGGCTGCTGTGTGGTTTAGAGTGGTCACATGATCCACAGCCAAACTAACATTGTCAGTCCGTTTCCATGACACTCGAGAAAACCGAATTATCGCCTTATTCCGATAAAGACCGGACAACTGAAGGTCATGTAAACACTTTAGTCCGACTATAATCAGAGTTTAAGAACTCCGATTAAAACACCCAGATAATGAGATTGGAATTAGATTTTCTCTCCCATGTAACCAGCGTAGTCGGAGTATGAGGCCACGCCCCCGTAACCCCGTAACAAACCCCCAGAGCAGAGGAGTAGCGTTGGTCTCCTCTTTAGAAAAAGTAGCGCGTCCATCATGTCGGACAAAAACAACGCTGTACGATGCTCCATCTTCTTGTTTCTCCAAAATGCCCAGCAGCAGTTGTAGACACTTCTGACGTCTGACACCGACCTGCTGTTGTTGTTGACGGTTGGATGGGGTCGGAAACAGCGCCGCTGAAAAGACCCATGTCGCCCCCTAGTGTTGGGGAGGAGGACACGTTCACGTCGATAATTCAGTTTTCTCAGCTGCATGTAAACGAGGACGAGGAGAGAAGTCTGATTCAGAGAAAAAGACGAGTTATGAGGTTAGTCTGATTAAACTGAGAGTTTGTTCAGACAAATCGACCACAGAACCAGTGAGTCCAGCTCGGCTTTTAAAGGGTCCTTCTGGTTTTGATGGACCTCAGCTCTGTCAGTCCTCCTAAAGATCAGCGTTTAGACTCAGAGCGCCACAGAGCGCCACAGAGCCGTTTAAAGAGCTCTTGCCTCACTCACCTCGTTTCTGTGAGTTCACTGGGAGCCGGATTGTCGAGTGGTGATGAAATCCAGATACAACCCAGAGAGTGTGTGTGTGTGTGTGTGTGTGTGTGTGTGTGTGTGAGCAGCACCTCCCCCCTCCTCCTCCTTTGCACACACAGGAATGTACCATCAGGGTAAAAAGGAGGAGAACCGTTAAACCCTTGGCCTTCGGAGCTCCTCAAACCTGAAAGTCACATTCCTCATCCACCTGCCGCTTCGCCGTGTCCCTGATCGGAGCGGACTTCCTGTCTGTGAGCGACGGGCTCCGCAGCGAGCGCCGCTGCCATGCACTTGTTAACCCCGCTCCTCTTCCCTTCTGCCAGTCACGGCACGGCTCACACCGCAGCGAGACTTTGTTCAGACCTCTGCAAACTGTCATCTCAGACACCAGCAGCACCGAACGGGGAGATTTATTCTCAAAGACAAACGTGTCTGACATCCCGACGCCGATCAGAAAACAAGATTTCACAGGATACACTCCAAAATTAGATAAAGGACTATTCCCACTTTTAGAGAAATGTGCTCATTTGTGCGAAGAGATCAGCATCGATTAGTGTTGAGTATTAGTGTTTAGTTTTCAGTTCAAAGTCGACTCACTCAAAGACTTCCTCCTCCTCCTCATCTCTTTATTTTTATCGTGGATCTTGACTCTCTCCTCTCTGCAGGAGGTTTTTCAGAAGAGCGGAGGATCGACGCTCCAAACGAAGGTTGACTTCAGTCTTGGTGGAAATAATGAGTCCTGCTTCATCTTCTCCGTTAAGGAACTGTGTCGTTGTGACTCTGAATGATCCTCTGACCCCGGGTCCTTCAAAGGTCACAGTCCGCCTTAAATTCAGGGTTTTCTCCATATAATGAGGGACAGACAGGATACCGAGGTGGAGAGTTTTCACTGCAGCTGCCTGAGGTGAGTCCACAGAATTCAGGTCAGAACCAGGTCCAAGACCCCGATCAGAAAATGTCTGAAACCATCAGACCTCAGATGTTCTTCAGCGACTGATTCATGATCATTTCAGCAGGAAACAGAATTTTTAACAAACCAACTGAAACAGGCCGAGAGTTTTCAACAGAACCACAACAGAACCACAACAGAACCACAACAGAACCACAGAACCTGCAGGTGAACTACGTCACACTGGTCTGCAGACTGTGGCTAACGCTGACAGCACCAGTCTGCAGCACCAGCAGCACCAGTCTGCAGCACCAGCAGCACCAGTCTGCAGCACCAGTCTGCAGCCTCGTTCAGCAGAGAATCCCAGTTAAAAACAGGAACGTCTTTCTCTGGTGTTGTCAGACAGAGAGCTCAGACCCGGACCGGCGCCCGGCGCTGTCAAACCCACACACCTCTGCACAAAGGTCTTCTTCTTCTTTCCCGCTCATGTTGTTGTGACGGCGCCGTTTTCAGAGCTTCCATGTGACGCTGGTTTCCATGCCGACAGATGGAGCAGCAGTCACAGAGACTCGTCTCTGGAGCCCGGCCTGAGCGGAGGGGTCCGGTTCATGGTCTGAGCCCGCTACCACGAGTCCTGTTGGGCCATCAGAGCCCACTTTAAACAAACCTGGACCCCCATCACCTGTGCTGGTTTATATGAGGGTCATAGAGCAGGAACGTGGACTTGACTGGACCACAGTCCTGGACACTGATGGGTGGATGTGCCTCAACGATGAAAACCACCGTGTCAGACCAGACCGCCACCGCCACCGCCATCATCATCCAACACCAGGACTGACGCTGAGGGTCTGAACACTTCACAACCAGCGGTCCACAAGAACTTAGGTCCTTTTCAGAACCATCAAAACCACAACTACACACGCCTATGCACAACTACACACACCTACACACAACTACACACGCCTACGCACGAACACAGACAACTACACACAACTGCACACATACGCACAACTACACACACAACTACACACACCTACACACAACTACACACACCTACGCACAACCACAGACAACAACACACAACTACACACAACTACACACGCCTACGCACAACCACAGACAACTACACACAACTACACACATACGCACAACTACACACACAACTACACACAAATACACACATACACACATACGCACAACTACACACAAATACACACATACACACAACTACACACATACACACAACTACACACACAACTACACACACGCCTACAGACACACCTTTACACACCTGTCAGTCATGATCTCTTCAGCTGAACTCAAAGTCAGACTCTCGTCCTAAACTCAGGATCAGGTTTAACTCTTTACTGCACAGATCAGGCTTTAGTGTGTGAGTGTAAGACAGAGAGTGTGTGTGTGTGTGTGTGTGTGTGTGTGTGTGTGTGTGTGTGTGGACACAGACGTGGATTTAGGATTGTGCGAGATGGCAAAGTGCTCGCACAAATGCTCGTACGTGTGTAAACGCACAAAAACAAACAGACACACACACATACTTGAAGGTTGAAATCGACGATCAGCTGATTCTCACCGTCGTAGACAGAATGTAAACACCAGACGAGGACACGCCTCTACTCTGCAGGTAACAAACTAATTTTTTTAAAAGTACTGAAAAAAATAAGTTAATATTATTATTATTATTGTTATTATTAAATGTTATCATTACATAGGTGACCTTCCTGCTGCTGCTGCTGCCTCTCTGGTGGACTGTGGTACTGCAGGCGTTTTACTCTCTCAGTGAACGGGCAGAAGCTGCTCTGATCTGGTTTTTCCCCCCCGAGCGTAAAAGATCGGGGGCCTGAGCCCAGGTCGCCACTCCCTGACTCCGCCCCCCTCCCTGACTCCGCCCCTGCTTTGACAGTGAGTCAGGACTAACAGGTTTTAGATCTCAGTGTGTCGAGTTCAGACCCTAAACCGAGACCATGAGTCAGTGTGGGACAGACTTTCTCTGCAGGACTCTAGAGAATCTGGATCAGTCAGCGGTCAGTCCAGCAGCATCATCATCATCATCATCATCATCATCGTCGTCGTCATCGTTCTCCTCCATACATCATGTTGTCAGCTGATGAAGAGGCGGGGCGGCGTGATGATTGATGTGATTTACTGCTTAACCTCAGAATCTTAAATCATCAGGTTCTCTGTAAAGGATCCTGAAGACCAGATAGTCTGGACTGGAGTGAAGGTGGGGACAGATTACAAAAGACCTCCATCTATCATCTCAACCATCAGACAGAGCTCCGAGAGGAGGAGGAGGAGGAGGAGGAGGAGGAGGAGGAGCAGGTCTGGGTTTACTGCTGTGGACTCTGTAGAACCACAAAAACACAGTTTTGGTGAAGAGGAGGATTTACAGAGAGACCAGAGACCAGGAACCCGGACACTGACAGAACTTCACCACAGGGGGCGTGTTTGTACTTCAGAGAGTCAGCAGCTGACGGCGGCGTGTATCTGTAGATCACATCCTCTGGGTAACAGAGCGCCGTCCGTGTTTTACATAAACTCCGTTTTACAGTAAATCTCAGAATTATATTTGACCTGTATCTGAGGACGTGTAAAGACAGCGGCGATGGCGGCGGGACAGAAGTCTGATGTGGAAAAGGTCAAACAGAAATTACAAATCACCTTTTTCACGCTTGTATCACGCAAACGTTTACAAACACGCATCTGTCTGTCTGAGCGGCGAACAGGGGTATCACAGCAGATATGTACAGGCAGGAAAACAAGGAGAGAGAGAGTGTGTGTGTGTGTGTGTGTGTGTGTGTGTGTGTGTGTGTGTCTGAGCCAGTTGCCATTTCTGGTTGACATTCTCCACATCAGCCAGCTCCACCCTGGGGCCGGTGGCGGAGGAAGGCTGCTCCTGGCCCTTTTTCTGCAGAAAGACTCACATTATGATTCAGCTTCCACTTCCTCTGAGGCGTCAGCCAATCTGTGGGCTGGTGGCGGTGTGAATCAAGGCTGTCGCAACTCCCACTCCCACGCTTTGAGGCTGAAAATGTGTCTGTTGGATTAGAAGTGTGACTATCGAGGCTCCGGCTCTGAAGTGGAGTTTATTTCGTGTGACCTCAATGTGACAACAACACAAACACGTCTGTGAAAAAACACGGAATAACACCAACGCGTAAATAAAAGGGAAGTGAGGAGGAGACGTGATATCCTGAAAAACCAGCACTGAAGAGCTCAGAGTCCGTGGACTCGCTGAATCACATTATGAGGGAGTCAAACATCGATTTTATCGATGTTGATGCTGTTATCGATTCTGTTATCGATCCAATTCTTTAACGATTCCCTTATCAATGCCTCTCTTTGATTTAAATAAGTCGATTATTTTTCACCGTTAAATCTACATTTGATCGAGTCTTAAATCTGAAAATAATCAAACAAACTGTTTGTTCATCGTTTACTTCGCTCTGAATTCAGTCAAATTAGGGGGACTAAATTCTGGACCCCCAAAAAGAGATCACCACGTCACAGGGTGGAGTCACACACACCCTGGGGTTTCAGGTCGTAGCGAGTGTTTTTTTAGATAGATAGATAGATAGATAGATAGATAGAGAACTTTATTAATCCCCGAGGGGAAATTCGGTTGTTATAGTAGCCGATACAAGCAATACAAGAGAAATACAAAAAATAGATAAAATATACAAGACTATACAATGCTATACAAGACTATACAAGATAATGAATGAATATGAGTACTTAAATAGTATGTGCTAAGATGAAAGAATCTGTAAGTGTAGATGTGCAAGGAGAAATGTGCAAAAGTGATAAAAATATTGTATGATACTTATATGTGCTTAATATAACTTAATTACAACCTAAGCATGTGTACCCGTATTTATAACAACAATGTAGGAATGGCAGGCTAGTCCATGTAAGTGACTGTGGCTCTAACGGGTGGATGAGTTAAAGAGTCTTATTGCAGTAGGTAGGAATGACTTCCTGTATCTTTCCTTAGAGCAGCGGGGTTGAATGAGTCTGTTGCTGAAGCTGCTCTTCGACCTGTCCAGTGTGTTGTAGAGGGGGTGGGAGGGATTGTCCATGATTGCCAGCAGCTTTGCCAGCATCCTGTCTTCCACCACCTCTTCCAGGGTGACAAGTTTAGAGCCCACAACAGACTCTGCCCTTCTGATGAGTTTGTTCAGTCTGTTGGCGTCCTTTGCCTTGATGCACGCGCCCCAGGACACCGCAGCAAAGAAGATTGTGCTCGCCACAACAGACTGATAGAACATCTGCAGCATCTTGTTGCAGATGTTAAAGGACCTGAGCCTCCTCAGGAAGTAGAGCCGGCTCATGCCCTTCTTGTACACCGCCTCTGTGTTTGCGGACCAGTCCAGTTTATTGTCCAGTGTAACACCCAGGTACTTGTAGGTGTCCACCAAATCCACATCTGTCCCACTGATGCGGACAGGAGTGGGCAGGGGCTTGTTCCTCCTAAAATCCACCACCATCTCTCTCGTCTTCGCCACGTTCAGCTGCAGGTGGTTCTCCCCACACCACTTAACAAAGCGGTCGACCAGGTCCCTGTACTCAGCCTCCCTTCCCCCCTCCACACACCCCACAATGGCCGTGTCATCGGAGAACTTCTGCAGGTGACACGACTCAGTGCAGTACTTGAAGTCTGATGTGTATGTGGTGAAGAGGAAGGGGGACAGCACAGTCCCCTGGGGGGCTCCGATGTCACTGATCAGACGACCAGACTCACAGTTCCGTAATCTCACAAACTGCGGCCTGCCCGTCAGATAGTCATCGACCCAAGTGATGAGGGGAGAACTCACCCGCATGCTCTCCAGTTTGGCCTTTAGCAGTCTGGGCTGGATGGTGTTGAAGGCGCTCGAGAAGTCGAAGAACATGATGCGGACTGAGGTGTTGGGTCTGTCCAGGGAGGCGTAGGCCTTTTGCAGCAGGTAGATGATTGCATCATCAACCCCAACGTGGGGCTGATAAGCAAACTGCAGGGGGTCTTGTGATGTGCGCACCAGCGGTCTGAGGTGTGCCAGGACCAGTCTCTCCATAACCTTCATGATGTGAGAGGTCAGTGCCACCGGTCTGTAATCCTCCAGTGCAGCAGGACGTCCTTTTTGGGCACTGGGACCAGGCAGGATGTTTTCCAGAGCACTGGCACTCTCTGTAGGTGTAGGCTCAAGTTGAACAGATACTGAAGAACTCCACAGAGCTCACTGGAACAAGCTATCAACACACGAGGGCTGATGTGGTCCGGTCCAGCTGCTTTCCTCTGTTTGAGCCTCTCCAGCTCTCTCTTCACCTGGCTGGATGTAATGTGGAGTCCAGACTGGGGGTGGGGGATATGCTATCGTTCAAGGTGGATGTTGTTGCTGGGTCGTGGAGTGGAGGTGACAGGGGAGGTACAGAGGGGGGAGGGGATTGTCTGCTGTAGGAGGTGGTGGGGAGCTGCGAGTATGTCTGTGGGGCGGGAGGTGTGAAAGAGTCTGTGACGAGTGTCCGCACAGGGGGTGGGGGTGGTGTGGAGCAGGGTGTTGTTGTGGTGGGAGGTGAGGAGTTGTTTGTTGAAGCAGTAGGGGGGCCGCCTGGTGTGGAGTTGAACCTATTAAAAAACATGTTCAAGTCATTGGCACGTCGTTCATCCCCCTCTGCCGCACCCGCACCTCTCCTCTGGAAGCCTGTGATCTCCCTCATCCCCCTCCAGACGTCCCTGGTGTTATTGTCTGCCAGTCTTTGTTCCAGTTTTCTTCTGTAGATGTCCTTGCTCTCCCTGATGCTGTATTTGAGCTCCTTTTGTACCCTCTTAAGTTCTGCTCGGTCCCCTGATCTAAAGGCCTTCTTCTTCTCATTGAGAAGGGCTTTCAGGTCGCTGGTTATCCACGGTTTGTTGTTTGGATAGCAGCGGACCTCCTTAGTGGGGATGGTGTTATCAATGCAGAACCCGATGTACTCAGAGATACAGTCAGTCATTCCATCTATGTCCTCACCATGTGGCTCATACAGGGCATCCCAGTCCGTGGCCTCCAGCGCTCCACGTAGTGTTTCCATGGCCTCATGAGACCATTTCCTCACTGTCTTCACTGTAACTGGATGCTGCTGAACCACAGGCTTGTATAATGGCGAGAGCAGGACTAGGTTGTGGTCTGACCTGCCCAGTGGTGGCAGGGCAGTGGCACTATACGCATCCTTAACATTTGCGTACAGCAGGTCCAAAGTCTTATTTTCACGAGTAGTGCATGTCACAAACTGGTAGAAGGTTGGGAGTGTGGATGAGAGGGAGACGTGGTTAAAGTCACCTGTGATGATGATGAAAGCCCCAGGGTGTTGTGTCTGTAATCCTGCAGTCACATTGTGAATAGCATCACACGCTGCTTCTGCGTTTCCAGACGGGGGGATATAAGCAGTTATGGCGATAACACTGGTTACACACTTCTAACTCAGTCCACGCCACACAGACTCCGGACATTCAAAGTTTCACACCGCGCTGCTGTTGTCGTCTTTCTGAGTAAAATGAAATCACGATCTTTTCTGCCGACTTTTTGAATGTCTGCCATGTTTTTTCCTCGGAGTCTCTGTTGCTCTCGTAAGACCGTCTTTAGAGGCACCAGGAAACAGGAATCGTTAGG